TCCTGCTGCAATCACACTCCCAATTTAGACCATACCGGTGGGCCGGGGCTGTGGGACTGCACGTCCAGACACCCCTGAGGAGAGGTCCCGGAAGATGCTCTGGGGGCCCTTGGGTGAGGGCCTAGGCTGGCCCAGGGCAGCTGTGAGGGTACCCGACAGGGGCCTGTGAATGTTACTGTTATTAATGTCAATAGCGACCACTGTCACTGTACTAGGCACTTCACCCCGTTAGAGAGGATTCCACGGAACAGGGCACAAAGCAGCCTAAAAACCGGTCATAGGGGTGTGGGAGAAAAAAGTGAACACCAGGTTCAAGGGAAAGCGGCTGGCACAGGTCTTTTTTTTTTAAATAAAGTTATTATTTATTTTATTTATCTATTATTTTTGGCTGCGTTGGGTCTTCGTTGGGCAGGCTTTCTCTAGTGGACACGAGGCATGTGGGATCTTCCCGGACCAGGGCTCAAACGCATGTCCCCTGCATTGGCAGGTGGATTCTTAACCACTGCACCACCAGGGAAGCCCTGGCACGGGTCCTTTAGACACTCAGCCTGACTCCTAAAGTCTTGAGGGCCTTGTTTGAATTGGTGCCCGACTGTGTTCCAGGGAAGCCCCTGCCCCCTCCCACTCCCTTCCAGACCCACGGATCTGAGTATTGACCAGGGTTAAGGAGGAGATAAAAAGAAACCTTATCAAAATGCAGCCAGTGAAGAACAACTAGTCCCTGTAGCTGCTGTCTTTCCAGTGCTCACCCACTGCCTGGATTTCTTCCTTTGGATCATAAGGCCCTGGAGAGCAGCAGGGGACCGGTTATTACTTCTCACTCTCCAGGACACCCCTGGAAATCAATGCAACACAGCCTTCCAGAGGGTAGAGATTAGCATTGGGGGTAAAGGGAGGGAAGGTGGTGGGAACCTCAAAGGCCCTCACAAGGCTTGTTTCTCAGGAAGAGTCCAAGTATTCAGTGGCTTGTGGGGATCAGAACCAGAAACTGTTACAGGTGCCCCAGAAATAATTATGGCATTGGTCGGGGGGTGGGGCATGAGGGTAGATGAGGAATCTCCCTTTTACCTGAAGATTCCAGGCACATGATTAGGAGGAAAAGACCTGAGTGACTCAATAGCTCCTTAATAACAATAGCTAGACACTGTACTAAGGGCTTTACACATATTAATTCCATTCTGATAATAGTCTTCTGAGATGAGTACTATTATTACCCCTATTTTACAGGTGAGGAAACTGAGGCACAAAGAGGTTAAATAGCTTTTGCATCACTCAACTGGTAGGTAGTACAGCTGAGATTCTTACCCAAGAGGTCTGGTGTCTGTGTCCAGCTTTTCAGCACCATGCATTTTTGTCTCTCCCTGAAGGCCACGTTATCTCACAAGTGCTGATATTGGGAGATACACTTGTGGCACAGAGGAAAGGATGCCTATACTGATTACAAAACTGGAGTTTCAGCCGTTGCTCAGTCACCCTATTTTTTCAGCTCTTCTGGGCTGTAAAGTGAAAAGGGCTGGGTCAGGTACTTTTCAAGTCTGCACCACTTGTTGGCAGAGAAGGGATTTGACATGCTGTCTCCTACCCTGAAACGGCAGTTTTTCTTCTCCCATCTCCTTTTCTCCTCTTTAAAGAGAGCCAGGTACTCCATTCTAGAGGTAAGGGTCTGGGACTAGGAAGCAGGAATCCTTTCTTTCCCTCCCTCCCTCCCTCCCTCCCTCCCTCCCGTCCATGTTTGGCTGCGTTGGGTCTTCGTTGCTGCACGCGTGTGGTGCGTGGGCTTCTCATTGCGGTGGCTTCTCTTGTTGCAGAGCACGGGCTCTAGGCATGCGGGCTTTAATAGTTGTGGCACATGGGCTCAGTAGTTGTGGCTCGCAGGCTCTAGAGCGCAGGCTCAGTAGTTGTGGCTCGCAGGCTCTAGAGCGCAGGCTCAGTAGTTGTGGCATATAGGCTTTGTTGCTCCACGGTATGTGGGATCATCCTGGACCAGGGCTCGAACCCGTGTCCCCTGCATTGGCAGGCGGATTCTTAACCACTGCGCCACCAGGGAAGCCCAGAAGCAGGAATCCTTCAATCCATTCTGCCTTCAGTTCCATCACATGGGTGGGGGGGGGGGGGCTGCTCTCCAGGTACAAGAGCAGGAACTTACAGGTGTTGTTTAGAGCTGGCATGGCTCAGCCCTGCCCTCTAGCCTTCTTCTGGCTGCCAAGGCCTGGCAGAGCTGGGGGTAGGTGGAGCCAAGGCACAAAGAACCAATCAGTGGAAGAAGCTACTTGGACTTGGTGCTTTCCCTTGCTGTTATCCATTTGAACTGTTACCCATCTGAATAACAATCCATAAAAGATAGGCAGAGACTTCATCTCTCATAAAGCCATTTTCTGGAAGAGGTGGCCTGGCAACTTAGACATGATTTGGTCCATTTGCTTTGGCTAGAAAGCCATGACTGATCAGGGTCAGGGACTCCAGGCACCCCTAGAATATTTTGTGAAATGACCTTGCCTTCACCATCATGCACTCTGGCACTCCAGCCAGAGACCAGTGGTGTGCCCATTTCATTTGATATAGACGATTCAGACTGAAGCAGGCTGACTTAATTTTAGTTCAAGGCAGTGTTTTCTCTGGAAACTGAGCTTTCCCTAGATAGTAGGGCTGCTTTATATGTGATGAATGGCACCACTAAATATCTCATGATGGGTCTGTGGAGGAGTGGGAGAAGTGGAGACCCCTCCCCCCCAGCCTGTTTTTGTTTTTGTTTTTGGCCATGCCGCAGGGCTTGCGGGATCTTAGTTCCCTGACCAGGGATTGAACCCGCGCCCTTGGCAGTGAAAGCACGGAGTCCTAACCACTGGACCACCAGGGAATCCGCACCGCCCCCCCGCGCCCGTTTTAGGGAACTGCTCTTTGGCCCCATTTCTCTTCCTCTACCACTGACATCAAGTGCTTCTTTTCTCTTCTAATGATGGGAGAGGGTTAAGCTTTTACTTCTTTGGAAAGTCATGCCGTTTCTAGAAACCTTTCAGTGAGCTGAGGTGCCTTGTGCCGAAAGCTTGTGAGCTCTATCTTGTTAACGTCCAGAGAAGTCACCTACCCAAGAAATCCAGTCTCTGCTGGGGCACGTCACGGCAGCTGTCCCAGAACACTTTGTACCACAGATGGCGGCGGAATTTTGGTCCCTTTGCTTATTCATTCTCCTAACATTCAGGTGGTGGCTTTGGCAAGAGCCTCTTTGACCAGGCAAGTTCCCAGCATGGTCACTTGATTGGAGCCACACTGTCTGAAATAATCTTTAGTGATCCCATTTCCCATCCAGTCTTCATTTTGTGAGAGGTAGAAAGTTGTATTTTTTCCCAGAGCTCAGCTCTCTCCTAAGGGAAGGAGATCAACCAATGGGAATTGCATCATGTTTACCATCAGTGTTCTCTTCCAATCCCTCCACCTTTCAGCAACCCCCTCTTTTGTTGCACTTGATCAAGTACACGTTTCATCTTCAAAATAAAAATTTATTCAGTCTGTAACAAGAACATTGAATCTGCACATTTGCGCACAAGTTCACATTTAAAAACAGCGGAGCACATCAGTAATAAAAAAAACCTATGATACAAGTGGAACATCCCAACCACCAGGAAGATTAAGGAAGGAGATGAGACCACTCTTTATATTCTGCTTCAAATGCCTCAAAAAGGTCCCAGAGATTCCAGGGAGCACCTGCTTTATTTAATAAAATGTGAGCATAAAAGTTTGGGGTGGCCTGGGGCAAAGGTAACAGTCAGTGGGAGAGTCTTTTGGACTTGTTTTCTACATTTAGAACAAGTCCTACAAAATTAAAGTAGAAAGAAAGAAAGAAAAGGCACCTTAAGCTATGCCAAGCAAACCAAATTCCAATAAAACATAAAAACCAAACAGTTCCCTGTGGATTTACTGATTGGGAAACATTTCAGGGCCAGTTACCCAGCTTCCAGACTGGGTCATCAGCTTGAGTTAAGCCCTGGGTATTAGCTCTCCATGTGTGCACAGGATGCTGCCACCGGTGTTGCTGTGAGGACACAGATGGCAGCACTAGTCATATACCCCTTGGGACATCTTCAAGCTGATGAGGGATGATTCCAGTTTAGAAATCCTGTCCCAGATCTCTGGGGCACTGAGAAAGTGAGGCTGGTTCTCTTTTCATAGCAGGAGCCAGGCGCAGGCACCCTCCACTTCCAGGCCAGAAAAGTACAGAAGCACCTTGCAATAGCTCTCCATGGCATCAAGGGACCCCAAGCCCTGGAGAAGGGTTAGGAGTGTGCAGCTTCCTGCTTTGGTAGCAGGAGGCTTTTTCCTGATATAGCCGTCGGATGAGTCGCGGCAGCAAATACACTTATGCCTAATACATGCCTTAATCTTTTAGTTTGGAAGGGAAAACAAATCCAAGATGTTTTTAAGTTGGATTGGTGCTGAAATAGCTAAAATTTCATCTCATCTACCATCAAAAAGCAAAACAAAATTAGACAAAAACGACACTAGCCATTCACCATTACAACCATCACTATAAGACACACCATCACTGAGGAAATGATGAATATTTCCATACAGAGTGTTGGATGGGAGTGCAAGACACAGATGGAAGTCAGCTCCAGGTTTTCCCCACTTACCCATGAGGGCTGACCTTGCTCAGTGTGAGGACTCACAGGATGGCCGGGGCTGGGTGCCTGGAGGAGGAATCTGAGCGGCCATCAAGATGATGCACATTTTAATATTCACAATGTAAACAAAATATCCACAAACAGTTCAAAAAAGCCAAAGAATGGCTTTATTTAAAAAATTTAAAATGCCCTTGAAAGAGACCCTTTTTGCATAATGCTTTCTTAAAAAAAAAAAGAGAGAGAGAGAGAGAAACAATTCCCACAAAAACATCTTTACCAAACATGGCTAGATCACTTCAGAACTGAAATCCTCAGATGGAACAAATGAAGATTTCTGTGAGCTGCTATGTCTCAGAAGCTTGAGGTCTATCCAGGAGCCATCTGTCTGGGGCCCTTTAGCAGGAGGGGACCTCAGAGCCTGGGCTGTCATCCTCAGGCTGTCCTTGGGGTTCTTGGTAGTTCCCAAAATGAAAAAGAGGAAATACCAGTTGGGCTAAAGGTACAGAACCAGGAAAATGCTAGATAAAGAGCCTGAAGAGGCTGAGATGTTAGGAATGATCCTAAACATTCGGAATCTGAAAGGCAACCAAAATGAGGAGAGATGAGTATTACTACACTACGGTACTGTGTATCTGCTATAGTACAAACTACTCCTAAGTGTTTCTAAAATCAAAAAAGGGGTTTCTCTCCTTCCTACTGACCAGGTAACCATCCAGATTACAGCTCAAAATCTGTGTGCTCCTGGGGCTTTTACCCCATGCACCACAGTGTTACTTTTTACACACACACACACACACACACACAACCCCTCCAGAATAATTTTGAGTCAGACTATGGTGGTTTTCAAAATAGAGAGAGGCACTGAGCGAGAGGTCCAAACTTTTCCTACTCATCTCTGTCAATCTACCAGACCTGCTGTTTCGGGTCTGGCTTTTCCATGAACAGAAAAGGGAAATAGGCCACCTGAGATTATCCATTTGAAGAGAATAAAGTTTAGAAAGTTCTTGATAGGCCATCATGTACTTCCCCTGGACAGTGCTCAGCTACACGAATAGCACGAGAACACTCAGTTTGGGGAGTCTGAGGGCTGGCAAAACCCTATGGCATGGTTGAATTACAGACCTTGTGTACAGAGTGTTTATTTAGGCAGGTAAATTAAATGATAAAAAGTATAATTATTTAAAAAAAAGGCAGAGCAAGACGTTCTCTACTCTTTAAAAAAAAAAAAAAGGTTTTGTTTTTCTTCACAGCGTTTGAGGTTCCCCCACTCCCAATCTTTGTTGTTCTTTAATGCAGTGAAACTGAGCATTAAACAGTGGCCGGGAGAAGAGAGAACAGTGCAACACTGTCGACCCTGTGTGTGCTTCTTAATATGAGGGAAGTCACCATCTCAAGGGATTAACTGAGTGGACACTACTCTCTTAACCTCCATGCAAAGCCTCCTCTTCCCACCCCTGCCACAGTTTCCTCTCCTTTCGCCAACATATTGGTGATGGAACTGCCTCAACAAGAAAGGGCAGTTTAGATGGATGAGCCCTGGAAATTCATAACCCTGTCCTGCAAGCCTCCTCACACTGGAACATGCCACCTAGTAAAACATTTTACAACACATTAAATATCCTGGAGTCACAAAGCTGTGTGGATGACACATTTGAACATTTAAAGGAAACTATTTAGGGACAGCACAGGTACATATCATTACTACACCATAAAAACACTTAGAGCAGGTGGTTTCTGTCCAATCTGCCTCCTGGCAGTGATGTCAGACCCAACTACGGCCTCCACCCGGCAACTGGACTCACAGCTCCTCTTGAACACCTACGAGTGGCCTCAGTCCACCTTTTCTCTCTCCTTTGGGTCACCATACCACCTGTCCTCATCGAACTCTGGCCTCTGACATCACTTTGACAGTCTGTGCATCTTTTTCCTCTAAGTGCTGTGATGAACCCCAAACCTAAATCTTAGGTCTGTGCTCGGTCAACCTCTCAGCAGTGGGGACAACCACCAAGCAAACAGGAAGCAAATTTGCAAACCTCTTCAGTTTTGATGAGCTGCAGTGGGTGTTCCATTCCAGGCTAAATATGTTTTCTGTAAGAAGCTGAAATAGGCTTGTTTACGGCAGGTGCTCCTGTGTTAAGGACCTCCACAATAGCAGCAAAGCAACAGCATCCTAAACGCGGTCATTAAGGGTGCCTGCCCTTGGCCGAGGCCTCCCTGCAGCCCTTCAGCCTAATCCATTAGGAGCTTCCACCCTGGGCAGCGGTAACACTCACATATACTCCCCGGCTCTGGTTCAGCTAGTGGTGAACAACGTTCTGGGATTTCAGTCTCAAAGAGAAATCAGCCTTCGGTCAAACTGTGATCTAATGGGAGCCTTTAGGGGTTTCTCTGAGGAGGAAGTTACTAACGCATAATTTGGCAGGAGCTGGTGATTAGAAGTCTCCATTTAAAAAAAAAACACCATCAATATATACTCTGCAGATTCCTACCAACACCCATCAGTCTTATTTCTGTGGTGTCCATATGTTTTCCAGTTGCAGCTTTACTATTTCTTAAAATGTATGTCAAAAAGACCCTACAACATACAACGTTAACAACAAAACGATGTAAGAAAGTGACAACATTATGTACATAAGTACTGTGTATAAACTAGAGAAATGACAAATCTTCCAGGAAAAGGAAAAAAAAAAAACTTATGTCAAGTGTTAACAGTGATAATATTAAAAAGAAAACTTTGCATTCAATGGAGGTTATCCATATGTAATGTAACAATTCAAATACCTACAAAATTAAAAAAAATAGGCAGCACTGGGAGAAACAGCATGAGGGAGGAAAATAAATTGGAAAAAATATGGCCATTAAACTTAAAGGCCCACAGACTTATTCAAGTAATGGAAGGGTTAAAACCCTACATATGTATTCATTTTACAAGAACACACTGACTTTTAATTGCTGTTTTTCAAACTTGTCCCTATTGTGTTTTAGTTGGGAGAATGCTGCAGGGCACATTTCCAGGGGATGGTGGGGTGGGGCAGGATGACCACCTGGGTGGAGCCCATCCACCTGGAAGATACTGGGCAGTGGTGGCCTCTCCACCCCCAATTTCACCACCTCTTCTTCTGCTTTCCTCTAGAGAGGACCTCTCAGATATCCTTTGGAGTTCATTTTAAATTTAATAAAATAATTTGCTTGGGGTAAAAAAGTATTTGCTTGATAAGTTTACAAAGCCAGCCATTATCATGCCTTTTTGTAATGATACACTCTGGAGACTAGGAGAAATGAATTCTGGAAGACCCTCTTTGAGAACAAAGCAGAACCTGCCCATTTCGGGAACTCCAAGGGGCTGGGCCTGGGGCTGGGGCTGGGGCTGGGGACCAAGTCTGAGAGCATGCTGGCGTTGGGCTGCCCCCTTCAGTGAATCCAATGCATCAGGTCTGGAGACCTAACCATCATCACACAAGCCTGGGGCAGCATTTCCAATTCCCAGCTTCAACCCCACCTTCCCCATCTGTTTCCTTCCTCAATCAAGCAAGCGTGCCTTCCCTCAGGGGGCAAAATGAGGAGCAGGTGGCAGTAGATTGAAAAACAGCAATTTGCCTTTGATAAAGGTGTTCTTTGAAAATGAGTATTTTTTGAGGTTTGCATTTTCCAAAAATAAAAAATGATAAAATGGTCTTGCCGTCCAAATCAAACTCTCTCTCTCTCTCACACACACAGAGGAAAAAAAACAAACCCTGCATGCGCCAGGAACAGTAAAATGACAAAAGTATTATAAAATTAACCAATAAAGTGCATGTTCCTTACATATTACACCTGCCCCTTTTACAAACATTTCTTTCAGAAAGTCACATGTAGAGGCTCAGAATCACATGGTATTATAGAAGGGGTTGGTTGTCCGTTTTTTATCATTTGCTTTTTTCAGTCTCCTTAGGGGGTGAGTTCTGCCGTGTTGCTGACGGGGCACTACAGCCAGCCCTGGAGCTGGGCCTGCACCCTGCAGTCCCTGGGTCTGTACCAAAGGAAGGCCTCCTTCAGAACTAGTCAATTCAGGTCCTGCCCTGGGGAGCAAACACTGCTGACCGGAACCAAATTCTTTGGCATACTGTACAAGGGGCCTCTCCACCGGCTTGCTCTGTGCGATACACTCTGCTGTTTTGAATTGCTCTATGAAACACTTGGTGGGCTCTAGGTTCTGGGGAGCATCTGGGTTTTCTGGGGGCTCCTGGGCCTCCATTCCTGAGCCCATTCTGAGGAAGGGCTGAAGCAGTTTGAGATGAGGGGACTCAGAGCAGAGAGGCCCCCTCTCCGGTAAACAGTCTTTACAGAGGTCCAGGTAACCTAACTTGGCGAGGGAAGCTGAACGCCTCATTTGCGATGGTTTGGGGAGCCCTACCTGGGAAATCTCTCGGGACTTGATATCTTTAGCACATTCCTTCACCCCACTGGGGCTGTGACTGAGACCCTTTATACCGTCACTACTAGGGCTGTGTGGGAGCTGACAGGCTACAGGTGATAGGTCCAGTTTTTCTTGCTGCTCCCCAACACCGTCACCGAGTCTGCTAATTAAACACAGGTCTTCGCTACTTAACTGGGAGCCCTGATATGGCACTTCACTGCCCCTGGAGAGGGGGCCCTCCTGACTTTCCTCCCAGCTGCCCTTCTCTGCAGAGGGCTCATTGTCTGTGGTGCTGCTTTGCTCTGTGAAGCCTTCCAGGTGAATCACCGTCTGGGGATGCAGGTAAGCCAAGCTGGCACCAAGTATGTGGGTTGAGTGACTGACAAAAGGCGCTGCCATCTCCAGGGCAGCTGCTGGGCTGTTGCCCCAGTCTCCGGGGCTGCTCAAGGTGGGGGCTGGGTGGGCGGGCCTGCCGTGCTCAGGCTCGGGAGAGGAAGAGTGAGGCAGAGGTAGCACTCTGGGGTGCAGAGAAGCCTGGTCGGGGCTCAGTGTCCGGTTCAGATTTTCATCCAGTGCACAGAGGACAGTGACGGACTCCTCCACTTTCACTTTCCTCAGTCCCTGCTCCCCACTCTTTTCGCTGGTGGCTGTTTCCCCCTCTGGCCCGTGATCAGGTGTCGTGACTGCGTGGGTGTATTCAATGATTTCTATCTTCTTGGGAAGAGGCAGAGGGACTGCTGGTGTCTCAGGTCCCTGGCATGAGACCGAAGTCCTCTGCTCCTTCAGGACTCCTTCCTGCTGTGTTCTGGGACCTGACCCTGGGCACTTCTGAGGAGCTGGCAACGGGTGAGACTCTGGCAGCTCGGGTGCTAGAACGATGGCATGCTGCTCAGAATGGGGTAGGGAGCCAGCCTCAGACCCACTGCATTTCCCTTTGCCCTTGCTCATCTCTGGTTCCTTGGGGACAAATGCATGTTCTAGGGTGGCTTCATCACTCCTCCCTTTTGATGCCAGATCTGCCACAGAAGAAGAATCATTCTTGGAATTCTTACGAGTGGACAACGAGGCACAAGCAGGGGCAGCACCGTGCTGCTCCTGCTCCTGCCGCAAGCGCTCCTCAAACTCCAAGGTGGCTCGCCTCACAGACCCGGGGCACCACTTGGCACCCGGGGGCATCCCTGGGCCCCAGAGCTCTGGTTCCCCCTCAGCTGGTTCCTCTTCTTCCAACTCTGTGGTGGATGCGTGTGCCACTGGGCACCCTTCTGGCTCCCACTTCCCTGAGTCTTTGGCTAGTTCAGGCTGGGCTGTGCAGGAACCTCCACCCTGCTCCAGATTTCCAGGTTTGTTCTCTGCGGCTTGGGCCCTCTCAAGGGGCAGCTCATGGATGATGTGCTTCTTTGGTGTATGGCATGGAATGGATAGGATGTCGCCTTTCACTTGAATCTGTCCAACTCCTTGACTGATGGATTCAATCTCAGTGACGATTTCTTTGACTGAAATTGCATTTTCTGAGTGAGACTGCATGAAGATGTCTGGGCTGACCAGTTCTGAGACTGCCTAAAAAGAGAAAACAGTGAGATGGTTATGGCAAACTGTAATCTAATTGAAAATGCCAGATTTTTTGCTTACTAATCCTCTGATCCAGGAGAACCTTCTGGCTCTCTGAGGACACAAATCATGGAGTGCCTGGGACTGTCCTCTGCCTGGGGTTGTATTCTGTTTTGTTGTACAAGAAAAAACCGGATTCATCAAAGGCAGAGATACAAAATTAGTCACAGGTTGTGTCACTGTCCAGTAAACTTTTGTTCTGTTGACTCAAATAGGATTCTAATCCAGTATCTTGCTCCAAAAGTAAACAGCAAGTAGCCTTGGAGGCTCCTATAATCCTTATTTTCCTAAGACCATGAGCCTTCAGGATTTAGGCCATACTGGGGTAAATGAAACCTTTCCTCTCTAGCCTACCCCCTTCCAGTTTGATCCTAACTTGGTTCAAGGGGAAGAGTTCCACTGAAGGGCTCAGTGGCCACCTTAAATATGCCCAGTGTTAGAGGAAGCTGGATGTCTGATTTGGAGACTCACTGCTCTCTTCTGTCCTTTGTCTTGCCAGCTTTCGTCCACATCCTCCCACTGCTTCTCCCAGCAGCCGCATCCCAGCACATGGGGGCACTCTATATCTGACTGCACGGTTCCTAGGTTTCACATGGCTTCTTCCTTGGCTTATGCAGCCACGTGCCTGAGCAAACTTAGAAACTGCGAATCTGACATTTTAGTGTTCTACCAGTTACATATTCCCAGATGGGTTTAGAACAAGGCCAAAGAAAACTGGCCAATGCAAAATCAAGTCCTACTGTAAAAAAATAAGAATTTCAAAATTCAGAAATGGCCCTTGGACATCTCTTAAAGCAACATCATTATGACCATCAATCTACTTTGTTAACATTTTTATAAACCTTCAAGGTACAGCATTTCCCTAGGAATTGTTCTTGTCTTTCTCCTTCAAAAAGAGTCAGAGCTAGTACAAACTAACAAGATCAGTTATGCCTTTGGGAGAAATCTGCTGGGACATCAGGCAGAGGCAAACTTGCCAAGGCTGGGAGAGAAGCCACAGCGGGCCCAGTGTGTGCATGGGCTGCGGAGAGAGTGCTCATATGACCAGAACTTTGCAGAAAAGCTATTTCTGTCAGAGCCACTACATCCATTAGTCCAAAGGAGAGCTCAGGCATTCTGATTTTCCCGGTAGAAACGAAATAGAGGCATAGCTTTTGGGGAGAGGAGAAGACAGAAGCAGAGGCAACAACTGCCCTGGGGTAGTTAAGAAGAGAGAGAACAGATGAGGAGTGAACGAGGTGGTAAATATAAGTAGACAGCAATCAGGAGATGTCACGAATCTAGTCAGCTCCACTGAAATCGTGAAATGACTTCATTTATGTTAGAGTAAATCTGTCCCCACTTGCTTCCCAATTACTGTATTATACTGACATAAGATACCACTGTTTTTTAAGATGCAACCCAATTTCAAAAGTGAAAATGAGAATAAGTGTGAGTCTTAGAGTTGATGATATATAGTAATTCTTTCCCTGGTCTGAGACGGCTCATAAGAACTCATGCCACTGAGATGAATCTTGGGATTCTGTCTGCTCCCAAATCATTTCCCCAAACCATCCCTCAATTCTTGAATACCACAGCGTCTGCAATGAGGAACAATTCAGAGTCGTTATTAATAGCAAGAACTCAGCATGGGAATCAGTTGCTACTCCAACAACTATTAACACACGTCTAGTCTTTGAATTTTCTGAGGCAGAAAGAATTTCCCAAACGAATCCATCCTCTCAGAGAGACACACGTCTCACTCAGGCAACAGATCAGTCCCTGGCACCTCACGGTTGGTGAGGTTTGATCTGAACTGCGGAGGTCCACGGGGGACCTTCTCCTTGGTCAGGCAGGACATTTGTTTTGGCTAATCCCTTCTTCCCTCATCCCCTCTCAGAAGTGCTTCCAATGACACCAAAAGCCTGGAAAGATAAACTCCTTGAAAGGCAACTGATTTAGAAAAATATTTAAACCCTAAATTTTCACGCCAGACTGTCTCTCTCACATCGCCTTCCTAAATCTTTAGCAACACCAAAAATAGAGTGAACATAGCAGAGTCCCAAATATTTTGTCATTAAAGAGATCTTCATTAGGCCTAAATAGAAACTATAAAGGCAGTTTTTACCTTTGACTGCTCCTCATCTATTGAAGATTCTTCGGATGCATGGGGAGTATTACTCAGAGAGCTGCTCCTCTGGTCATCAGCTGTCGCTTCGGAAGGGGCTACCTCGACCACTGACAGTCGACAGCTCTCGCTCCTTCCTCCACCCAGTTCCTCCATCCTTGAGTGAGAAAAAGATCGGGCCCGGGTTTCTTGGGAAAGCTCTACAAACTTCTCTAGCGCGCTAAAAAAGTCAATGCGATCTGTACTGAAATCTGAGACTTCAGCCTGGCAACTGGGTTGGGGGCTTGGTGAGTCAGGATCAGGGGACATGGGGAGATCTTTCAGGCGGGATGTCAATTCTTCCATGGGCAGTAAGTGGACGTTCATGTCTGCTTTCAGTGCGTCTGTCTCCAAATCTTCCACGGTTAAGTCTGGGAACTTGTTGGCCATTTCTGGGTCCTGTCCAGGTTGGATTAAGGCTTTGGATGCATGGCAGTTGTCTAGAGGGAATTTTGATTCATTGAGACAACACCCCGATGAACATCCATTGATGTCATTTAGGTTTAATTCATCTTCAATCTGTCCGGCATGAAATTCCCTAGAAGTAAACTCCAAGCAGATCATTCTTTCTTTGGTACACAGGCCTTTCTGATTTTCATCCTGTGGGACGACATGTTCCACGAAGACGGGAGGTATGGGTGGGTGACTCTCCATGGTCTTGACCTCGGCAATCTGGTCTGCTGAGGTGGTGATCTCCTTCTTGTTGAGTTCTAGTCCTGCTTTGCAGATGGGTTCGTGGTGGTCCGAGAGGTCACTATCTGAATGAGATCGCCAGAGCTTGTTATGCCGCTGTTTGCTGTGGAGGACATACATAGGAAACGCCTTACTCTGGTTTGTGAAAACAATCAATACCCTCCCAGGAAACCGCTCCCAGATAAACTTAAATCTTAACCTGCAAGATGCTTTGTTAATACCCAATGGAAGTAGGTAATCAACAGTTGAAAAGAGGCTCAATTTCACTAACAGCAAACAACAAAAACAAAGTAAAATAACAACAAAAACAAATGAATATGAGATCTGATTTTTTTACTATCAGACTTGTAAGAGCTAAGATGGTTGTTAACAGCCAGTGTTGATGATGGTTTGGTCAAACTAGCCCTCTCATAATACACAGTTGATAGGAGTGTGAACTGAATGAAATCTGGCAATAGCTCTCAAAATCTAACACTTTAAACAGCAACTATCCCTTTAAAATTTTTACTTGGAGAAATACTACTACATAAGTGCACAAAGCTATACATATAAGGATGTTTACTGTAATACTGCAACACCAAAAAATTTTTATTTAAATTATAGTCCATACACTTATATGAGGCTATTAAAAACAGTCAAGGGGACTTCCCTGGTGATCCAGCGGGTAAGACTCCGCTCTCCCAATGCAGGCGGCCCAGGTTCGATCCCTGGTCAGGGAATTAGATCCCACATGCCGCAACTAAGAGTGTCCTCATGCCACAACTAAAAGATCCCGTGTGCCACAACTAAGACCCAGTGCAGACAAAATAAATAAATAAATATATTTTTTAAAGTTAAAAAAAAAAAACAGCCAAATATTTTAGTGGAATGATGTTCAAGGTACACTATTAAGTGAAAAGCATGTTGAACACATTTGGAATAGTCAGTTCCCATATTAGAATAAGTATAGTAAAATATCTACAGAACATCACCAAACTGGTAACAGTGTTTCTTTCAAGGAAGGCAGGGCTTTTACTTTTGGGGAGGGCTTTACATTCTACACTCTGTAGTATGTCTACAATTTTTAAATTAAAAAAATGAGCCTGATTAATATTAATAACTGGGGGGAAAAACACAAAATATTATCCAAGTAATACAAAGAGAAATAATCAATTGGAGCCCATTATAAGTTCTCCTAATTGGGATAAAGAGCTGATATAGGATTAATCACTGATGTGGAAGTGTGAGGAGGGTGGTAATCTTTCTTGAATTAGAAAGCAAAGAATAGGGAGTTCCCTGGCGTTCCAGTGGTTAGGGCTTAGTGCTTTCACTGCCATGGCCCCGGGTTCAATCCCTGGTTTGGGAACTAAGATCCTGCAAGACATGCGGCGCAGCCAAAGAAAAAGAGAAAGCAAAGATGAGCCTAGTAAATCTGGAGAAAAAGGTTGGTAACAGAACGGAAGAGGATAAACGTAAAGTACAGGCCCTTTCAAAAGGATCTGTGGATAAAAACCATCAAGCTAAAGTGACCCCTGGAAAAGGAGATGGGCCAAAAAGACTATATGCACACATCCATCCTTTGGTTGATTTTATGGAGAGAAGGTCTGATGAGATCTCATTCCAAACCACACTCTAACAAGGAAGCACAGTTCTCAAAGCTCCAATGAAAAAGAGAAAGGTGGCCCTGTGGCTGGGCAGGGAACAGGTCGCTAAATGTGGCATTTGGGGGTATGGTTTCCATGACTTACAAGCTGATGAAGAGCTACCTCGCCGCAGGGTGGAATGGAAACAGCCCAGAACAACTAACGCTGGGCTCAGGGCCATACCTGCCTTGGCTGCCTGTGGATCTCTGCCGAGTCACACGCCTGCACTAATGCGAACCCCTGTTTGTGCTCAACTCTGCACCTGCTCTCAGCTCCCCCGCCTGCCTGCTGCTTGGGTGGGGCTCTCTCTGACTCAGGCCTGCCCAGCAGAAGGGTGCTTTTCTGGGTAGGGCGCAGGTCAATTTGTTTATGAAGACAAGCTATAATCAAGTAGCTGGGTGTAAGGTGGGGTTTTCCCCCTTTCCAAACTGCACGAACTCCAGCCACCCCTAGGAGGAGACAACGTATCACACACCCCAAACGAGTGAGTGGCTGTGGGGAGGGGCAAGCTGACTGGTTGGGTAGGTGGGCCCGAACTGTACTTTGTGACCAACGGGTGCCAATGTGCTCCCCTTAAAGCTTCTTCTTTTTCGTCTGACACCCTGTTTCCTGACCTAAATAGGACTGTGTTCTCCAGTTTCCATCCCTCACCTATCATGAGGATGTTCAAACCTGCACCAAGTCCTCTCAGCCACCCACCAAGGCAGGACAAGTCCTGTGATGCAAATCACTGAGAAGATATCTCAGGGAGTAGCTGTTCTCACCCTAATAGTAAAGAACAGCTTATCTCATCAGACAACAGGCAAACGGGAAATTTTCATGATCCCGAGAACCCTCCAAAGCATGTTTTTAAAAAACTGCCTGTAAATCACTAATAAATTGAGAGGGAATGAGAGACTGACGTTATGCTAATAGGCACCAACAGTGCAAGTCTCAGAGAAAGTAGCTGACATCATAGCTGCTTTACCCAGCAGGGATTTCCTTCTCTTCTTGGGGAAGATATTCATCAGAAAGTATTGGGTCAGGGCTCTGGAATTAAACTGACACCTTTTGTAAAGGAGAAAGAAAAATCCCAATCCAAAAATAAGTCTGATTCTGCTGCCTTTTTCATTTTTGCAGTAAAACCTGCAGGGAGAGTGGCAGGTGGCTCTCTGACATAGTCATGATACTCATTACCACAGCCTGTGAAGCGCTGCTATTCCATGTGGCCCTTCCTGATTCCCCCTTCTCCCAGTGCAGGGGTTAGTAACCAATCACCTGAATTTTGTGCTTATCACTCCCTCCCTTTTCCTTATTGTGTCATCACATGTTTTGTTCTAACAATATATAGCTTAGTTTGTATGTTTTGAATTTTACATCAATGAAATTATACTGTATGCATTCTTCTACAACTTTTTATGCCTAACATGTTTTAAGACTCATCGACGTGTGTAGCTGTAATTTCACAGAGTGTAGTGAATATGCCACAATTTATTATTCATCCACCCTGTTGATAAGCAGTTTTAGCTGTTACGAACAACACTGCCATGGACATTCTTGTGCCTGGTGCACACTTTGGTTTCACAAAGGTGTTAAATATAGGAGGGGAAAAAAGGTGGGTCACAAGGCATATGTGCATCATGAGTTTTACTTGGTATCACCAAACTGTCTTCCAGTGAAGCCCCTTCTCAAGCCAGTTTATTCTAATGCTCCGTCACTGGTAGGCATAGGTATAAGACATTAGATCATATTTGTTATTTTAAACTGTTAATGTTTATATTCATCTGACTCCTGCGACCTATTCCAGGTAGGCAGCAAGTGCCAAAAAGAACTTCAGAGTTGGTCTGTGGCCTGGATGATGCAAACAAGTCTCAGGTTCTTGTCCTCCTTGAGTGGCCTCTGACCTGAATTTGGATTCACATAAACAAACTGACACACGTGAGATGACTGGGCCATTCTGGGTAAGAATTTGGCCTTTTACTTAGTAAATGAGCAAGAAGGAAAGCTAAATGACAGGATGCATATGATGTCCCATTCTCTTGCCTCCACTTTCTTTCTTATTGTTATATGTTTGGTAAAGTACCAACTCTGAGAAAATTATATGGAGGAAAATACTGCTAAAAATGGAGTATCAGTTGCAGTAAAATCAGACTATTTATGGTTACTTCTTAGGGCATTGGGCAGCCTGCAGAGAAGAGGAGAAGGAAGAGGAGAAGCATCAACAATTGAGCATTTTCATGCACTGTGCACTGAAGATTATTTCACTGAAAAGCTGTTAAGAAAATCCTTTAAACCTTACTTGTGATTGGCTGTCACCTGACCAGGAATCCATGTCCTCTCATTCTCGGGTTCCCTCCTGCTGGCTGACCATTATGTACCAGCTAACTAGACTTCAATGTCTTCACCAGCAAAGCCAGGGTGAAAGACAGCTCTGTCTCCTCTGGCCCTGGTGACAGGGACATTCAAACAATCAAAACTAACATCTATGAGGACATGTGTCACGAACTCTCCCTGGCCACCACCCAGTTTTTCTTCCTTGCCCCTTATACACTGGAACCTAATATCTCAGACACATGGTCCAGCTCACAGATGCATGAAACCTGAACTTGTCTAATGGAACATAAATCTGCCAGATATCTAAACGATCCAACTCCAGAATAACAAACAGGGTTGCTGGTAGTTTAATGGAGGGTTTCAACACACACATATGCACACACACACACACACACACACACACACACACACACACCCTCCTCCTGCCCTCACTCTCATCCCCCAGCTATAAAAACAGAAAAAATAAAATTAGATATGAACAGTATCAGTGCCTTTATGATACCCTCACTTTTAGGTCTAAAGGAGACTATTAAATATTAGTCTCCCTGAGGCTTAAAGACATACTAAAAGATGCAAAAAGTCCCTTGTATTTCAGAGGGACTGTCACTGTTTGGTCCACCCTCTCACATTCTGATTAAGAGACTGTAACCAATTCATAAATCACTACAGGGGCCTAGAGTCACTTTGTTAAACTTTTCTTCTACCAAGAAGTCAAAGTACCAAGCTAATACCCTCAAACAGAGGGCTGCCACCTCAAGTTAAGCACCCAGTGCCACCCTGGACAACCAATGGTGCTTGACAGTGCTAGGATCAGAGCTCTATCTCTTTGGGAAAACCACCATGTGCCTTCTGGGAGAAGATATGAAATACAAGATATCTAAGCACCTGGAGAGGAAATGGAATTTCTTTGCAAATACAATGAGTGGGATTTTCCCAAGGCCTTTCCTCTCTTGGTGACCTAAGCTGCAAGGCTTGACAGAGCTTCAGACCGTCACAGGAATCTGGGGCTTCTCCTTCTTTGCTCTTCTAAGCAGACAGACCCTGGAGCAGTACTCTAGGGCTGGGCCTACTCGGCAGTCAGCCTGGCAGGTAGCCTACAACTGCTGTTTCTTGACAACACATCATAGATTGCAGACCCTAACAGCTATATACCCAAGAGGCATTCCTACTCTTTTTCCTTACTGGCAGAGGCCTGATTTGGTTTGACTGTTCATTGCCCCACAGTTTCAGGGAATGTGGCACTTCCCTAGCACCAGAGAGTGAATGTGAATTTGTTTTAGCCAGTCCAGGAAATTCTATTTTCCTACCCAGTGCTTGGTTTTAAGAATATGACCCAGTCCCGGTCAGTGATCCTGTGGGGGTGGGGTGGGTGGGTGGCAGTCTAGTGGGGAGCTTCTGGGAAACGTCTTCTCCTCTAATTGAGATGCCCATTCTTTCAGCCAGACGCGGTGGAATTTACATGTAGGTGCCTAGACACGTGGCAGATATCTGGCAATCATGAGGCAAATTCAAGGACCAAGCTATTAACTAAGGAAGGGAGAACACAAAGTAGAGCAGGAAGATGAGAGCACCAAAGTCCCTGATTACATCCCCGAGCCCACTACAGTCTACTTTGGTGCTTCCTGCTACAAAAGAAGGTAAATGGTCCAAGTTTTTAACTACCTATAGCTGGGTGCTGGCTCCTGCCGATCCACTCTTCAACCTTTCTACCCTGCTCTCTGCCCTGGAGACTGACGTATGAACCACCTCCACTGGTCCCCTTGTCTTCGGACTTCCACAGGGTTTGGCTAATGGGGAGCCCCAGTAGGAGACTGGAGCGGGGAGAGTGAAAGCAGGCCTCTAGTCCTGTAGCTCCTTCCCCGCAGGGCCACTCTGGCTGGCTGGGTCCCCTGACTGAAGGCTATTGCTCCTCTCTGAAGGTGCCTTTTCTCCAGGAGTCTCCGTCCAGGTTCTAGTAACTGCACCATCCCTCTCTGGGCCCAGGAGCTATTACCAAACAGCCCTGCTGATATAATTTCCTTGATTCCACTACAGTCCTACACCTTTGTAAACAGTCCTTTTATAAAGTCTTCCCCGTATAATCTGAGTGTGCTGCTTCTTGCTGAAATCCCAGTTGATGAAGATATTCTATTACTTGCAGCTGAAAGCAGCCTAAGTGACACCCCCAGCACTAGATTTTCGTTTTTAAAATTCAGGAAACATCACAATACAGAAAATTCCAGGACACTTCCATTCCAGTTTCTAACACAGTTAGTGTGTCTGTTGGTGGCGGAAGGCAGTGGCTAGAGGAACTGAATGGCACATGCATGTGTGTTCTCTGGGTAGCCTCGCAGGAGGGGCTTGATGAGAACCATATCTGAATAACCCTTAAGGGTACATAATATACATTATATACACTTTTATTTACAATAACCCTGTGAGCTAGGTCTCTTGATTTTCATTTTATAGATGGGGTCAGGTGAGGATCAGAACTGTGCAAACTTCTCAAAGTTGCAGCAAGGGGGTGAACCAGGAACGGAAACCACATCTACTGACTCAAATTCTGTGGTTTTCTCACTCTCCAGGGCTTGCCCCTCCCTCCTTGAATCAAGACCAGGAAGGCAGGATGGAACCAAAAGGGAAAGGGAAGAGGCAGGGTGACTTGTGGGTTTATGTTGCCCTTCTTATCCTCATCTAAGATTTTTCTGAAATACCTTTAACATCTAAGAAAAACTACATACGCTAAAAAAAACAAAACAAAACAAAAAAAAAAACAAAAACACCCCAACCCAACAGCTTGCCTGGGATTCCAGAATAAATACTGAAATTGGCAGGACACACAGTATCCTTCCTCTCAACGGGTCACGTGAGGACACTGCCTAATATCCGTCATGTGTGCGTCTGGGAATATACAATATTTGTGTCTCATCCAACCCTCAGATGCCTCTTTCTTGTGCCAAAAAGAACTTCTCTGTCCTACCTTCTGATGTAATCTAAAAATGTCATCAAAATCTGGCCCCAAAGACCTAAAAATCCTTTTTAAGTGGAGGAGACTTCAGTATCCTCCCAGCCTCCTAAGAGAATGGCTCAGATGAAATCATGCCAAGTACTGAGTAAATGGGAGAGGTTTTTTAGTGGAAACCGTAATGCTATGCTGTGGCCACATTTTCACAATACTTCGGCGGTGGGAGGGTGGTCACTCTGCCTGGTTAGGCTGGAAGGCTATTTACCATCTTGTTCAGGGGAAACACAGCCCAGATTCAAGAGTTGAGACCAAGTCATGAGACTCACTGGAGTCAAACTCTGGCATCGGCCCCGACTGATTCTAAGCAGCAGTGCTTTCACCCTAACAAAACCACCTAGAATGTGCCTACATGGAAAAACAAAGCAAAATATGGTACTCCACAGAATTACAGCACGTGGCATCTCAGGAAGTTGATCCTTGAATTCAGTTTACTAAGAGAGTAAACTGAATCTTTTTCCTCAGATCAGCTAAAGGTGGCTTTCACCACCAAAGGGGTAATAAAAATAATGTAGTGAAATTACTCATTTTATAACCAATTACCAAATTATTGTTGAAACAGCCAGTTCTTATTGATACAGGAAGATGTTCAAGACCTAGTACTGGGTAGACAGAAAAAGACAAATACTGTACGGTGGTATCTCTTATACATGGAATCTAAAAATGCCAAACTCGGAGAAACAGAGTAGAGTGGTGGTTACCAGGGCGTGGGTGGGGTTGTTGAGGGAAATGGGGAGATGTTGGTCAAAGGGTACAAATTTCCAGTTATGAGATTATAAAGTTCTGGGGATTTAATGTACAGCATGGCAATTATAGCTAATAATACTGAATCATATACTTGAATGTTGCTAAGAGAGATCTTAAATAGTCTTACCACAAAAAAGAAACGGCAGTTATGTCAGGGGATGGAGGTGTTAGCTACTGCTACAGTGTTAATCAGTTTGCAATATGTAAATGTATGAAATCAATACACTGGACACCTTAAACTTATGCAATGTTGTGCATCAACTGTATCTCAATAAAGCTAGGGGAAAAAAAGGAACAGTGGCAGTTAAGTGCAGTGTAAGTGCTCAATAAACCCTGCCATAGTTTAAAAAAAAAAAAAAGACCTAATACTGGGTGAAGAAGTAAGGCTGAAGAACAGGTTTTGTGGGGGAAAAAAAAAATCCATCAATATATGTGATAAGAGGTAAGATAATGTCAACTGCTGTCTGTGGTTATTGAGTTTCTAAATGATTTCTCCCTTTGTAATTTTCTGCATTTCTGCAAAACATATATATATAAAATCAGATTAAAAGATCTTAAAAAAGAAAACAAGAGAGCTATTTCTGGGAAGCCCCTTCATACCTCAAATGGGTTATATATATCCCAGTTCTACAGATTTGTCACATGACCAGAATTACTGTTGAAGGTTCAGTGAAACCAAGCACTGGAAAAAAAAAAAAAAAAAAAAAAAAAATGCCCAAAGCAGCAGCAGATACTTGTTTTAAGAGAATGGGTCAGGGACTTCCCTGGCAGTCCAGTGGTTAAGACTGCACCTCCACTGCAAGAGGTGCGGGTTTGATCCCTGGTTGGGGAACTAAGATCCTACATGCCACGCGGCCCAAAAAAAAAAAAAGGGCCAAAAAATTTCTAAGAATTTCAGCTAGCACTACCCTGGGAGCAATCAGTATCCATTTTGATAAGGCAGCTACATCTGGCTTTAGAAGCTGTTGAGAAGTATTTATTAAAATCTGCACCTAGGGCTTCCCTGGTGGCGCAGTGGTTGAGAGTCTGCCTGCCGATGCAGGGGACACGGGTTCGTGCCCCGGTCCAGGAAGATCCCACATGCCGTGGAGGGGCTGGGCCCGTGAGCCATGGCCGCTGAGCCTGCGCGTCTGGAGCCTGTGCTCCGCGGCGGGAGAGGCCACAACGGTGAGAGGCCCGTGTACCACAAAAAAAGAAAAAAAATCTGCACCTAATTGAGATCTGAAATAAGGGAACAGTATTTCCACCCTTTAGTTTAATGTCTTTAGTTTAGATTAAATGCCTAATCTTCCATGCTGATCTTAAATACTGGTACTTAATTTTTAAAAACTAGATAGAGGTTTCAACTTTCAAATCCTATCACACACTTAAATTAGGTGAGAACTAGCTGCAGAGAAGGACATTTCACTGTGCCCTGGGGAGCATAAAGGAGGGAAAATCTGAGAAAGTCAATTAAGGACTCACCTTGCCAGCAAGATCCCCTGGTACTCTTCCAGCTGTCTCATGAAGCTGGGGTTGGGCTTGGTCACTGTTCGTCTTTCCTTCACGTAGTCATAGGCTCGGTCCAGATTCCAGCCATACTCCTTCATCGCATAGGCAATCACAGTGGAGGCTGAGCGACTCACGCCCATTTTGCAGTGCACAAGGCATTTAGATCCGTGTTTCCTAGTTTGGGGGATTGAGGTAAGGAGGAAAACACAATAGTGAGTACACTTTAAGAGCTAGGTTCTAAATGTGTCCACGTCTCCTGTCTGGCCTTTCCATTTTCTTGCTTTGTAATTCACCCCACCTTAGTGCACTTGTGTGCACCTCTAATCAAATGTGTGGGGCAATCCTGGTACACTCAAATGATATTCAGTGTTAATATTAAGCCTCTCTAGTTCATTCAGCAAACATTTATCAGGCATTTACCATGTTTAAGACAATGTGCAAGGTCTGGGATGCAAAAATAAGTGACAGCTTTTCCCTAAAGGGTAGGACTCATTGGGAGAAATAGACAATTAAAATTCAAAATGGTAATTGCAATGACAGTTGGTCACAGAGCACAGAAGGAAAATTTTCTATTTAGAGACTGGACCCCATTTTGTGTGTGGCTGGAGGCCAGTCCTCTCAGCCCCAGGGGCACGTTGACGGCTGGCATGCTATTGAATTACAGGTGTGGCAATGAGTCATCTAATTTACCCAAATGTTGTGAGTTGCTTCCAGTTCCAGTTCTAGTAAGAGTTCTGTCCCGGGAGGAAAGCACAAACCAAATGAAACTAACTCTCCTCTTTACTCAGATGTAGCCCTGGATATTACTTTTCACAACACTTTTCACAACCCGTGTTCTGTCTAAGGACTGGCTATATAACCCGTGGAGCTGGATGGGACCATGTGATGTACCACATGGCTTTCTCAGCAAGGAGGGTGGAATGAATAATTAGCTGTTTTTGTGTTTTTTTATGGGGTGGAAGAAAGAGAAAACAAAGTCACCATAAAGTGACACTAACAAACAAACAAACAAAACTCCTCAGTCTTATGCCAGAGCTCATTACCTTGGATCTGAGCATTGCTCAGCTATGCTAATTCTGCTAATAACAGTGTCTGGCCCAGAGTAAGCCTTCAAATATTTGCTAAATGTATGAACAAACTTATGGATCTCCTGATTACATCTGTCAGTTGTAAGTAGGAACAACATTTTAAAATCTGGAAAAAAGAACATTTACTCTTATCACTAGTGTACGTGGGCTGGAATCCTTCCCAAGTGGTTATTCCAATAAATTAAAAAATGCACATGTCAGCCTAACAGGGGAAATCTATTCATCCACTCACTCACTGTATTACAGGAGACAAGCTTCCTTCCAGAAGCTTATAATCCTTCTGCTGGAGACAGACACACATGAATGAGTTAAGCACCAATGCAAGGAGGCATAAGGTTAAGTGCCAAAATGAGAGGGCCAGCCAGATAAGCTATGGGAATGGAGAGAATGGTCTGGAATAACTGAAACAGTCTCAAAAGTAAAGTAAAATTTTAGTGTCCTACGGTTGGTGCGCGCATATGCGTCTCTGTATGCTTAGGTGATTCCAAATGACTAGGACATGTTTGTTTTGCTTATGGCACCACAGAGTTTTCACTTAGACTCCAGCTGGCAAGCCAAGTCACAGTGACGCAGATGGAAGTTCAGACATGTGCTCTATATCTTCCCATCAAGCTCTGACAACTTTAGTACATCGAATTTCAGGTCTATGCCTGCAGGCACGGAAGGTGCTCAAACTTGGACAATCTTAAGAAAAACACAATTATGAAATCCACTCCTATGAAAACATTTCTTCGTTTTGAACTGGGCTTTTTCAGTGGATGGCTTCTAACTCAGGTAATGAAGGATCTGCAGTTAGTTCTCACCTAGCCCAATTTTACCTTTCAGGTTCATTGCCCACCCCACCCCCTCACTTCAAGTGCTAGATTGTCCAAATTAAGCCCAGCATCACATTAGGAATGCTAAACTAGAGTAGAGTGGCCCTGAAAGTGTGGAGTCCTAACCACTGGACCGCCAGGGCCCTGATTAGGGTGAAACACATGAGATGCCCAGGGTGCCACTTAAGGGGAGGCACTCACTCTGAGACGCTGACCTATACTTGCAGGACATGGAGAGTGCGTGCCTCTCAGTAAATGTAATGTGGGCGCGTCATGTTATCTCCCTCTAACCCCAGCCCTGCTGAAATCAAGTCTTTCTCTTCACTAGGACTGGGGCCTCGCCTTCATCTCTAGCCTCTTTGGCTGTAACCCTGACAACTTGCCTCGTCTTTTCCAGTCCCCTTTCCTTAAGGAACTAGAATATTCCCATATACTTGATGGACTGAAATGAGACATGATCTTAGGTTCAAGTCCTGTCTCAACCACTAGTTAATATCTCTGAAACTCATCTCTGCAGTCTGTCCTCTTCTGTACAGAAGGAAGACAGCATATGCCTCTCTGGGTTTTGGAACATACAGGAGAGAATATGTGTAAAGTACATGGCACATAGGAAGCATGCCATGAGTGGCAGAAGCTTCAACAGTATAAAACAGTCTCTCAGGTACTGGTTAGAGACTGAGAAAATGGGCTTAGAGCTGGAATATGGGGATTCAGGACAACTAAGAGGAAGCATTTCCTGACCATGTAGGTCCTTAAGCGAGATGTGGTATCATTCGTGAAGGAGGACTTTAAAAACAGAAGCGGGAATTCCCTGGCTGTCCAGTGGTTAGGACTCCATGCTTTCACTGCTGAGGGCCTGGGTCTTCTGAGTGTCACCCCACCTGCAGAGGGAATGTGGCCAACATGCTTTCTGATGGTTTTTTCTACTGAAGGGATAAATAGGACTGGCAAAAAAATCCCCAGGGACTTAAAAAATCAGTGTTGATATATTAATACTAATACTAAACACTAAATTAATACTGTGGAATTGTTTCACTAAAAGGACCAATTAATTTAAGGAAGATAACAACAGAAGGGCCAGAGAAAAAATTTCACTATTTAGAGTAGCATAAAAGTAAAGTGAAAGAATGGGAAAAAATTTCCAAAGCGTACTGTTTCTCTCCTTGTCTTCAGAGAGTAGGATCAAGTGTTCCACCTGTCTGGAATAATTTCTATTCTATAACTTTCAAGTGTCCCTATTGGTAACTTAAGAATTCTTCCTTCTCTCATTCAGAATTTCTCCTCTATTTCAGAATTTCTTCCTTCTCTCATTTCTATTTCTTTCACTGCAGCTTGAGTTTATTTTCTCTAATTTTGTGCTTAACAGAAATAGCCAACATGAGATCATCTTCCAGGGGCTTCATCTACTTAAAGCAAAAGTATTAAGTCACTAGTCATCTTTTTCCTAGTATTAAGAGATCTCAGTCTCCTTTTTACTCTACTTCCTTTCCTCTGAGTATCATCAGTAAGTTATCTACAGCTTTCAGACCCCAACCATGTGTGGTGCACAAGGAAGAGGGGTCAGAACGTGTGTGTGGGACCATTACTCACTTTGCTTTAGAGATGAATTTGTAAGTGTCATTCCAGTAAGCCAGGAGATCCGTTGCCTCTTCGTCATATACCCGAATGTTGTGATACTCAAAGACTCCTGGGAAGAAGTTATCTATCTCTCGAGTGACATTCAAGATATATCGCACCCTGTGAGGAAACCAACGGAGAATATGAGCCCTACTACTCAGGCGAAATCCAATTCCCAGCACTGGAATTTTTCTTATTTAAAACTTGCTTACTCCTGGGCTTCCCTGGTGGCGCAGTGGTTAAGAATCCACCTGCCAATGCAGGGGACACGGGTTCGAGTCCTGGTCTGGGAAGATCCCACATGCCGCGGAGCAACTAAGCCCATGCGCCACAAGTACTGAGCCTGCGCTCTAGAGCCCACAAGCCACAACTACTGAGCCCGAGTGCTGCAACTACTGAAGCCCACGTGCCTAGAGCCCGTGCTCCACAACAAGAGAAGCCACCGCAATGAGAAGCCCGCGCACCGCAACCAAGAGTAGCCCCCGCTCACCACAACTAGAGAAAGCCCGTGCACAGCAACAAAGACCCAACGCAGCCAAAAATAAAAATAAATAAATAAAAAACAAACGTTTATTCCTGAGGCTGAAATTAAATACTAAAATATTGAAGAAAGCTAAAAAAAAAAAACCCTAAGAGGCTATCCTTATTTAATACAGAAATTGTATAACAGGGTCCTGTGCATACCTGGGTATCAGGGAGTTACTGAGAGAAAAGCTGTCTACCAAGTTCAACATCTATATTCCATTTTCAGTTTGTGTTTAGTTATACAATCTCATCTTTCAGAGTCTTTTGTAAATATGCCTTGCATTTTACTCCAAAGAATCAACCTGAGGCCCATGATCTGACAATTTCTCTGCAGTCACTAAAATTACCAGCAACAAAATTTATTTTTTGGAAGTCATCTGTATTAAATCAGACTATTAACATGTACCTTAAGAAAAAAAAATAGAAGGAAACATTCCCTCCTATCTTTCTAAATGCCAGGTTGTCAGTTTTTGCTCTATTACTCTCCTTAAACTACATGAAGGCAAGTGAGGCCAGGCTGGTAGGGTCAGAGGAAAGTTGGACTTAAAGCTCTCTTAACTCTCTAGGATGCATTCCTGGCTGCTATGGCAGCAGATGTGTCTGAGAGTTCTCCCAGGCTTGCAGAAAATGGTTTCTGTATCAAAAATTTCTTTTGCTATCTCTCTCACTGTGCAATGTCAACAAATGCTTCAGTTTAATCTGCCAAAGGATTACCTTTTCTCAGTGCTGTATGGACTTAGACACCACTGTTGTCAACTCCAACAACACAGCATAGACTCACTCACTTCCCTCTGTAGAAGCTGCTTCCTGGCTTCCCATAGTGGCGCAGTGGTTGAGGGTCCGCCTGCCGATGCAGGGGATGCGGGTTCATGCCCCGGTCCGGGAGGATCCCGCGTGCCGTGGAGCAGCTGGGCCCGTGGGCCGTGGCCGCTGGGCCTGCATGTCCGGAGCCTGTGCTCTGCGACGGGAGAGGCCACAGCAGTGAGAGGCCCGCGTGCCGGAAAAAAAAAAAGAAGCTGCTTCCTTCTCAGAACCACACGTGGGGTTCTACAAACCCAATCACTGAAGTCAGAGAAATGACTACAAAAAGGGAGAGCCAAGCTAACCAATTCTGTGGTTAAGGTCAAGCAACCAAAATTTTTCTGGGACATGGTTTGAATCCGTTTTAACTTAGCATCAAAGTCCATTACTAGAAAGGATTTTTTCTTTTTAATTTAAAAAGCAAGCTGGGCTTCCCTGTCGGTCCAGTGGTTAAGACTCGGCGCTTCCACTGCAGGGGGCGAGGGTTCGATTCCCTGGTCAGGGAACTAGGATCCCACATGCCGTGTGGTGCGGCCAAGAAAAAAAAAAAAAAAAAAAAATTAAGAAAAAGCAAGCAACATGCACCTGTAGAAAACACTCCAGCAGTTCCCCAAAAGGTTACCACCATATGACCCTGTAAGTCCTCTCCTAGGCATAAACTGAAGAGAAATGACAACATATGTCTACCCAAAGATTCATACATGAATGGCCGTAAGAGTATTCATAATAGCCAAAAAGTGGAAACAACCCAAAGGCCCATCAAATGATGAATAGGCAAATAAAATGTGGTGTGTATATATGTCTCCATATAATGGAATACTGTTTGGCAATAAAAAAGGAATGAAGTACTAATACATGGCACAACATTGATAAACAGAATATGTCCAGAATAGGCAAATCTATAGAGACAGAAAGTAGGCTAGTAGTTTCTAGGAGGTGAAGGGAGGAAGGGAAATGGGGGTGACTGCTAAAGGGTACAGGCTTTCCTTTTGGGTTGGAAAAAAATGTTCTGAATTGATTGTTGCACAGCTCTGTGAATATACTAAAAGCCACTGAAGTACACATTTTAAAAGGGTGAACGATATATGTGAATTATATCTCAAAACTGTCAGAAAAAAAAGGCAAGCACACTTCCTCTTATTTCATTTAAAATAAAAATGAACAACCTTCCCATCCCCAATCCCATACTTCAGTAATGGATTATAGCAGGACAGGTTTCCCAATCTTTTTCATTACAGAAGCCTAGTCAGCCACTAACAATTGGAAATGGCACTCCTTGAAACTTCTTTGTCATTCCTACACTTCATTGTAAGCTATTCCTTACAATGCTTTGTAAGGAATAGCACTTTACTTGGAGTTCTAAAGTCAGTGGATTGGGAGAAAATGGCCTTATTGTCAAAATTACACTTGAAAAATCCCTCAAATCATCCACAAGGGGCAATATACATGTTTTGTGTACAGATCCCTGAACTATAATTCTTGATCCATTGAAGTTTTTTTTTAAAATAAATTTATTTAATTTTTATTTATTTATTTTTGGCTGTATTGGGTCTTTGTTGCTGCGCACGGGCTTCCTCTAGTTGCGGCGAGCGGGGGGTACTCTTCGTTGCGGTGCAAGGGCTTCTCATTGCAGTGGCCTCTCGTTGCGGAGCATGGGCTCTAGGCATGCGGGTTTCAGTAGTTGTGGCACACAGGTTCAGCAGTTGTGGCTTGTGGGCTCTAGAGCGCAGGCTCAGTAGTTGTGGTGCACGGGCTTAGTTTAGTTGCTCCACGGCAGGTGGGACCTTCCTGGACCAGGGCTCGAACCCATGTCCCCTGCATTGGCAGGTGGATTCTTAACCACTGTGCCACCTGGGAAATCCTTCTTCATCCATTAAAGTTTAAGCATCAGTGAATTTAAGAAACAAGATCTAAGTAGATGTCTGAGCATCTAACCATACTTGTCTTTTTTCTGTGTTCTATAATTTAGCATTGTAAGTAGTAAATGAGATAAATAGGTCTCATCTCCAGCTGGGGATATAAGTCAAAAGTCAAAGTGAATATATGCATGAAGTGATTCTAATGCATTTGGCAGGCAGTGCTCTATCAAATCTCAGATTTCATATTAAACACTGTATCAGGTGCTAGTTTCCTGCAGGTCACATTCTGTCAATTTTTCTACCACTCCTTCACATTTACCGGGCACCCTTTTGATATAAGGCTCTGAGCTAGGTATGTTTCACACAAAACTAAGATGGTCTCTGCTTTCAAGAACTTCTGATTCAATCCTTATCAACTTAAATTTTCCAAGTTCTATTTAATTTCATACCTTAATATTAAGTAACCAGATTTCCCTCCCCCCCGCCCCAAGAACTCTTTGTATAATCACTTGGCTTCCTTTCTTCTGAGGGAAAAGTAGGAAGTATGCATCTAATCACATTAAAGACAACCAGAAGGCTGACTTGTAGCTGAGAAAACAGGCAGCCAGCAACCAGTCAGGGAGTCATCACTATCTCTTGAGTCTCAGTAGGTCTTATCTCTGTCCAAAATGAAGAGTTAGAATGGCCAATTTCCAGACATGATTTTCTCTTCTCTTACTGGAATGATCTGACCTCCTAAGGCTGAGTTCAATGAAAGATTTAGGCATTAGCTAAGAAGTGAAAAGGGAAGAATGGCAGCTTTTTGCTTGCTGAATGTTCACTGTGGTCTCAGTTGCTTCGATCAAACTCATAACCATGCCGCTTAGGAACACATTTCTTACTACAAGGTCAGTCTTCTTGTTCAATTTTACACTGTCTCTTTTATATTTATAAGCTACTCAGTCTTCATGCACCTTACTATAAAAGGATAGGAACTGAGTCTTATTTTTCTTTGGATCCCTAGCGTCTAGCACTGTGCTTGGCCTACAGAAGTTGCTCAGTAAATGTTTAATAAAGACCTGTGAACCTAGCATATGCAGTTCTGTGTACTCCTACATAAAAATAGGAACCAAAGTCTAGAGACAGTAAAAAGATCAGTGGTTGCCAGGGGGTGGGGATGGGGAATAAATGGACAGAGCACAGAGGATTTTTAGGGCACTGAAAATACTCTGTATGATGCCATCGTGATGGACACATGGTCATTATACATTTGTCCAAAGCCATAGAACGTACAGCACTAACAGTGAACTGTAACGTGAACTATGGACTTCAGATGATTACCAGGTGTCAATGTAGGTTCATCAGTTGTAAAAAATGTACCTCTCTGGTGGGGATGTTGAGAATGGGGGAGACTATGCATGTGTGGGGCAGGGAGTATATGGGAACTCTCTGTACCCTCCCCTCAATTTTGCTGTGAACCTTAAACTGCTCTTAAAAAAAAAAAAAAAAGAGGAGTCAATAACTAGATTTGGTTTTAAACAGCATGAAAGGCTTGCACATTTGTTTTTGAAAGCCTTTCCACTGAAACAGTTGATCTTTCTTCGGAGGTGGGGGGATGAAACAGTGGGAGAATAGCCATTTTAATTTTTATTAAATTATACCCAGTAAGAATCAACTGGAAGCAACTCTTAAGCTTAAAGTTACTCACTGACACCTCTCTGACGGGAAAATGTAAAGATAAAACAGTGATTTCTGCGACATGGGGGTGTCAGCAATTGCTCTGTGTGCTTACCCTCGGTTCTGTAAATCCTCTAAGTTAGAGGCATTCCATTCCGAGCCCTGTGGAACCAAAAAGACAAGGTTAGAGAGTATTAGCCAATGAACTGAATACAATACTTGAAAAGGAGTCCTGTGAGGGAAGAAACAGTTTCTGAAAAGAAGGCCAATAACATCTACCAAGTTTCCTCTCTCTGTGCCAGGTACTTTATATGCTATCATATTCAGTTTCCACAAATGATAGAGTAAGAAAGTTACCTTCATTTTTTAGAGATATGAAAACCAACCCTTATAGAATTCAGATAATATCTGCTCAAGATCACATTGCTGGAAAGGTTTCTTTGACCATTCTCCAATCTAAGTTAAATGTAGTCTGTCACTCTTGTTCATAGTAGTCTATTTTATCAATAGCATGCATCACTATTTTTACTTGTATATTTATTTATGTGCTTATTTACTACCTTTCTCCTCCACTATAATACAAGCTTCTTGAGGGCAGCAACCAGGTCTCTTGTTCTCTAAGGAAACTCCTGCACAGTGCCTGGCACCTCGCAGGTATTCTTAAATGAACAAAGTGGCATTATTATGAATTAAAACTGGATTTCATTTCAAAACCCACACTTTTTCTAGTGCATTATGTTACATCTAAGAAACTGGGATGGTACGGTGTGTGTGTATGTCTGTAGGGGGAGAGAGTGAAATAGTCAAACAAATGAGAGAAACATGATGTGCAAAATTTAAAGGAAAATGTTTCTATAGATTACCTGCAAGATACATCAATTGTTAATATTTTGCCATATTTGCTTTCTTGCTGTCCTTCCCTTTCTTTTGATATACATCATACTTTTTTTCTACCTGAACCATTTAAGTAACTTGAGCATCATGACACTTCAATACTTGATCATGTATCATTTAAGAACAAGAATATTCTCCTATATAATTCCATTTTTGCAACCAAGAAAGATAACATGAATACAATAATAATCTAATATATCATCTATATTTGAATTTTAAAAATTGCCCTCAAAATGTCCTTTATATTCATTCAATCAAGAATCATACTGTGCATTTAGTTGCCATGTCTTTAATCTAGAACAGTCCACCCCTGTGCCTTTAGTTATTTTGTCTTTCATGATACTGACATTTTTGTGACTACAGGTCTGTAATACTGGAGAGCTCCCCACAACCTGGATTTATCTGATTGTTTCCTGATGACTAGATTCAGGTCAAACATTCCTGGCAAGAATATGACAAGGGTGGGCTTCCCTGGCGGCGCAGTGGTTAAGAATCCGCCTGCCAATGCAGGGGACATGGGTTCAAGCTCTGGTCTGGGAAGATCCCACATGCCGTGGAGCAACTAAGCCCATGCGCCACAACTACTGAGCCTGCTCTCTAGAGCCTGTGTGCCACGACTGCTGAAGCCCATGTGCCCTAGAGCCCGTGCTCCGTAACAAGAGAAGCCACCGCAATGAGAAGCCCGCGCACCACAACGAAGAGTAGCCCCCGCTCACTGCAACTAGAAAAAGCCCATGCACAGCAACGAAGACCCAACACAGCCAAAGATAAATAAAATAAATAAATTTATATTATAATAGAATATTACAAGGGAGATATTGTGTACTTCATACTGCATCAAATCATGAGGCACATAATGTCAGTTTGTCCCATTATTTGTCAGGCTGAGTTTGAATTCTTGGTAGATACCTTTGTGTCTGCCACATCCCTCTATTGTAAAGGTTCCTTTGAAATTGATTAGTAGTCTATAGTAATCTTTGAAGCCGTGAGAAAGCCAAAGTAATCTTTTTGCCCTATGATTTCAGCATCAATTGCCGATCTTGCCCAAATGAATTATTCTACTGGAGGTTACAAAATGGTAATTTTCTAATTCTATCATTCCTTCTGCAAGTTAGCTGACATTCTTCTGTAAAAGTGTCTCACCTAATCAACCATCACACCCTTTATTGAAGTGTCACTATGGACTCTTGAATTCTTTTTGTATTTAGAAAGTTATAATCCATTACCATCTTTTTTTTTGGACATGCAGATTGTCCAGAATTTGGCCAGTGGGAATCTCTTCAAACAGGTTCCTTCTGATATGATTCCATTAGTCTTTGAGCGCATCCATGCTTTGTGGTACAAAAAGTTGTTCCGGATTCACTTTGTGAGTAGAATCAGCCAGTTCCCCAAGAAGCCCTGGTTTCTTTTAGTGAAGAATGATATTTTGTAACCAAGATCTGGGCATTAATTAGGTATGCTCCTAACTACTGGGTGTCATTGTTTCTAAAACTTTTCAGGGGTCAGATCTAGGAAATATTTCTAAACAAATACTGAGTTTATATTTTTACCTTCAACTGAAATTAATTCAACACCACAAGGTTCTTCCTTTCTTTCTTGCCTCTCCCACACTGTTTATGTATCTCCTTACTCCACAGTGAGAACTTTGGTTCCCAACAACTCATTTACTCTACTTACAAAATAGTTTTAACATTATTACACCAATACCAAAACCAATAACAAAAATATTAAGTTCAAATTTTCTTTGCATTTCTTTTTTTTTCCTTATTATATCCCACTAAGGGGTACAATTAGAGTATTATGCTTAAGTTATTTGAATTAATTTATTTCTGTGAGGTTATCAATTTGATACATATTTGGGTTCATTTGCTCCTGTTTATATTCAATTTTAGGGTGTGTTTTTTCTTCCATGTTTTCCATTTTTTTGAATATACAAGACTTTTTTTTTTGGGGGGGGGCGGGTTACACAGGCCTCTCACTGTTGTGGCCTCTCCCGTTGTGGAGCACAGGCTCCGGACGCGCAAGGCTCAGCGGCCATGGCTCACGGGCCCAGCCGCTCCGCGGCATGTGGGATCTTCCCGGACTGGGGCACGAACCCGTGTCCCCTGCATCGGCAGGCGAACTCTCAACCACTGCGCCCCCAGGGAAGCCCTATACAAGACTTTTATAATATTGAAAGTCAAAAGTTTATTAAAAAGTAAACTTGAAGTCTCACTCCCACCCCCATCTCCTCAATCCCCATGCGTAACCGTTTTTATTAGTTTGTGGCTTATTCTACCTATGTTGTATTTTGAAAAAAATATAAGCAAATATATACTTACCACTTCTGAATTACACAAAAGTACTTTACTACATATGCTTTTATTGTTCTCTGCTTTCTTCACTTTGCAATATCTCCTCAGACCCACTCCACATCACAGTGCCACTTTCCCCATAGCCTTGCCAACAAAATGTGTGGTTAAGCTTTTGAATCTTTTCCAAACTGATAGGCGTGAAATGTTATCTCGGTGTAATTTTAATTTGCATTTCTGTTTAGCGTAAGAGTGAGCAACTCTTCAATGTTTCAGGTCTGTTTTCTATCTTTGAGCTATAATGTTCATGTCTTTTGAAAAGGCAAACATTTAAAAATAAGAATTTATCTATTTCAGAATAATGCAATAAGTGGAATTTAGCTTTATAAGACTCAGGTTCAAGTCCCAACTCCCCCTCTGACTGGGGGACCTTGGGAAAACTGCTTAACCTCTCTGTTTTCACTTTCCTTATCTGTAAAATGAAACACTCCTCCCACCCTAGTCCTAGGAATCTAATGGATATAGCTTCCCCTCAAACTACAAATATAAAGTTTCTCCCCATTCCTTTTGCCGTGTAAGAATACAAAGAGAAGTCTGTGACCTGGAAGAGGGCCCTCACCCAACCATGCAGGCACACTGGTCTCAAGACTTCCAGCCTCTCCAGAACTGTAATAAGTTTCTATTGTTTATAAGCCAACACCTCACGCCCCTCCCTCACATTTCTTTTATATTAAAATGGAAAACCCTCTCTCCATCCTAAATCCTCCTCTGGACACTGTCCTTTTCCTTTTCCTGAAAGGAAATCTAATACTCACTTTCTAAAATTCCTCATCTAATACTTTCTAAAATTCCTCATTTCCCATGTATCTCAACCCACAGCACTGTGGCTTCTGCCCTCATCCCTCTTGCTAATGACCTCTTCTAATTGTCTAATCCAGAGGTCACCTTTGTAACCTTATTCCACTGGCCTTCTATGAGTATCTATCTTGATATGGTCATCACTCCCTCCTTATAGAATTAGATCAGACTGCACAAATATCTAGCCTCATGCCTGGCACAACAAAGAGGATCAACAAATGCTTGTTGAATAAATCATCAAATGAGATAAGTAAATGAAGCACTCTGAAAATTGTCAAGTGTTATGTAAGCACTATATTCGTACTACAAGTGATCTGTAATTTGGCCATCGAACTAGGAGATCTCAAGGATGCTATGCTGAAGTACATTTAGGAAAATTGTCAGTAAGTGACGGATGACTGATCTTTTCTACAGACCAGGGCTCACCTGACTTGCTTTAAAAAATATATAAGAGGTTCTAAAGACTCTGTGCTCAAACTTAGAAAACTGGCTCCCATACCAAAGAAACAGGCAAGAATTATTTTTTAAAAGAAAGGACTTTCAAGGAGACAGAAGCCAAGCAATAAGGGTTGAGTGGCTAAATTGGAGCCAGGGAAATGTGACCACCTCACTCCTTAATTTAGAAATCTAAATCCTCTGTGGAATTCTGTACAGCTAGATGGAAATAACCCTGATGTGATGGTAAAAGTCCATGGTTTTCATCTACCTGTCCAGAGAAACTTCAAACTGACAATCTGAAATGACACATACCCAGAAACAAAATAAATTAAACTCATCAGCTACTGACTCAGTGAAGCCCATGTAAAGTGACTTGGGCTTTGCTTAGGGCTGTTTCAGGTTCAACCTGAAAGAACTGGAATCAACATGGTGTAATTACTTTTCTGTCCTCAATACAAATGCCATGCATATTAGCCCCCTTGGGTCCTCAACAGACTCAATCTCTGTTTTTTTTCCTCCATGCTTCTCAGGCACTGACATAATTCCATGGGGGTTTTCGATAAGTTCTATGGAATTATGCAAAGCATATTTTAATTGTATGGAAGTGTAAAATGAAATCTTGAAACTATACTGTAATACATTTAAAAAAAATAAATTTATTTATTTTTGGCTGCGTTGGGT